TCGGTCTTTTGCAGTTGCTGCGAAGCAAGGCGAGTCAGACCCAGAGCGCAAGGAGACGCGGCAGAAAGTAGACGACGACAGGAAACATGAAATCGAGGCTGCCATTGTTCGTATCATGAAGTCCAGGAAGAAGATGCAGCACAACGTACTGGTAGCAGAGGTGAGCGTGTGTTCTCGTTCATGATGTTGCATGTTTATCATTGTTTATCACTAAATATCTGATTGGTTTGCCTCCTGTCAGGTGACCCAGCAGCTGAGGGCGCGGTTCCTGCCGAGCCCCGTGGTAATTAAAAAGCGCATTGAAGGACTAATAGAAAGAGAATATTTGGCCCGGACGCCGGAGGATCGTAAAGTCTACACGTATGTCGCGTAGTGGATCACATTTGAGCAACACAAAGACAGGAAAAATATAAAGATTCTGGACTGCTCTTCGCATGGACTGGGAAGTTTCTTTTAAACAAAAGATGACCTCTGGGTAGCGGACTTCATTTAAAAGAAAGGCTAACCGAGAAATCAGAAACCATACAAATTGGGAAAATAATCAGGAAGCAAAATAAGAAATCCATAATTGTGTTGTAGATTATTTTTAATTAGATCAATCCCACACTTAAGAGAATCTCAGCTATAAGTGGATCCAGCTTCAGTCTCTTCACCGTTTTACCCTAGTAGAGATCAAATCAAAAGAATCCCTTGGGAAAATGTGAATGCACTGCACATGTGTTTTTTTGTTATTTTTTCCAATACTGTATAAAAGGCAGAAATATTAAACACCCTAACAAAATAGCCAAAACGTGGCTGCGGAAATAAGACAAAACGTTCAATAAAAATGTGGATATTGAACCTCTTGCTGCTTTCTTGCAGATGCCGTTTTGGTTTCCATGGTAACATCAAGGTGTGGAGACGACATGTCTATGTAATGTCATTTTTGGTTTATTAAACGAATACAAACGTTCCACACTGTCCCGGGTGGCACATGATAAAAAGCAGCCAAATGACTCTGAGAATTAGATGGTACATCACTATCTCCAATTTCCTGCTATTAAACCTCTAAAATGCCATTACTGCCAAGCTTGAATTATGTGTGGCCCTGGTCCAAACAGAATCAGATTGTTTTCAGAAATGGGCAAAGCAGATGTGAGTACTGCACGCATGCACAGCGGGTAACGGGTTTGACAAAAGAGTAACAGCATCACTGAGGCTCCCTGATGAAATAAATGTTTGCTAAAAAAATAAATAAAAGCAGCAGGGAGCAAAATCCACCGCTTGGATTTCCTTCTGTTTTGACAGTGTATGTAGGGATAGACCGACTAATCAGAGCCCAGTTGCAGAAACAGACATTTATATTAAGTTATACCAACAAGCAGTTAGTTGGGGGTAGTCAGTCTTACTTTTCTTCATCATATAACGTAACGACTTCAATTAACAGTTTATTAACAGTGTATGTATATATATATATATATACACTACCGGTCAATTTTTAGATCAGTAAGATTTTTTTATGTTTTTAAATGAAGTCTCTTCTGCTCACCAAGGCTGCAATTATTTGATGAAAAAAATGACAAACAGTAATATTGTGAAATATTATGACAATTTAAAATGACTGTTTTCTATTTTAATATATTTTAAAATGTAATTAGAAAGCTGAATTTTCAACATCATTACTGTTGCTGATTACACATCAGTTTTCAGTGTCATCCTTCAGAAATTATTCTAATATGCTGATTTTATGCTCAAAAAACATCAATTATTATTTTCAATGTTGAAAACAGTCGTGTACCATTTTTACCCCCAAAATTCTATGATGAATAGAAAGTTCAAAAGAACAACATTTATTTAAAATATAATCTTTTCTAACATTATAAATGTCTTTACCGTAACTTTTGATCAATTTAACTCATGAATAAAAGTATTTTCTAATTTCTTTCCCCCAAAAAAAAAAAAAAATAAATTCTTACTGAGCCCAAACTTTTGAATGGTAGTGATTAATGTTAAAAAAAGCTTTCCATTTCAGATCAATTCTGTTCTTTTGAACTTTCTATTTATCAAAGAATCCTGAAATAAAAATGTAAAAAAAAAAAACTGTTTTCAACATGGATGATAATCATAAATGTTTCTTGAGCATCATATTATAATAATTTCTGTAGGATCATGTGACACTGAAGACTGGAGTAATGATGCTGTTAATTCAGCTTTGATCACAGGAATAAATTACACTTCACTATATATTCACATAGAAAACCGCCGTTTTAAATTGTAATTATATTTCACAATATTACTGGGTTTTTTTGTGTTTTTTTTTTTTTTTATCAAATAATTGCAGCCTTGGTGAGCAGAAAAAAAAACAGCCTGGATGCTATGACGAAGTCAGGCTAGAAAAAAAACATAAAAAAATCTTACCAATTTAAAACTTTTGACCGTTAGTGTATGTGTATATACAGTATATATATATATGTGTGTGTGTGTGTGTGTGTGTGTGTGTATGTATATACACACATTACTGTCCAAATGTCTTAATGTTATTATTTTCACCCCAAAACATGGTTTCAAGCCAGTTATTTATATATTTTGCTGTAGTGTGTCCGTAAGAAATATTAGTTTACATTTCAAAACATTCATTTTGCCATTTATGATAATCCAGAGAGATTGTTGTATGTGCAAGGAGTCTTACAACAGCCGGTGCTCCACACTCACCTTCATTGAGTCCGTCTGAGATTACATGAAGAAACTGAGACAGACTAAATCCAGAAGAACTGTGGCAATGTTTCCAAGACATTTGAAGAAACCTTCCTGCAAATCTACCTATGTGCAAGCATACCTGGACAAAAGCTGTTTTAAATGCAAAGGGTGGTCACACCAAACCTTGATTTAATTTAGTTAATAGAAATAAAATTGCTTTAGTGACATAATTTTTGAAGGCATCCTCACCACTGCACTTTTAGTACCTAAAAGTTTTCACAGTACTCTAGATTGGCAGGAAGGTTTCTTCAAGCGTCGTTGCTGTAGTTCTTCTGAATTTAGTTTTTCTCAGATTTTTTCTGTTTCTTCATGTAATCCCAAAGTCGATGTTGAGATTAGATCTCCGTGTGGAGCACCGGCTGTTTTTCAGATTCCTTGAACATGGAAAAATCTCACTGGATTATTACAATTAATGGGAAAATGAATGTTTGGAAATGTAAACTGATATTTCCTACTGACACACTACAGCAAAATATATAAATAACTGTCTTAAAACCATTGTTTGGGGTGAAAATACTAACGTGCCTAAGACTTTTGCACAGTAATATATTTATGCAGAACATTTTTCATCATTTATAACAAGAAATATTTCTTGAGCAGCAAATCAACAAATCAGAATGATTTCTGAAGGATTATGTGACAGCTTTGCATCAAAGGAATACATTACATTTTAAAACATATTCAACTGGAAAACAGTTCTTTTAAATTGTAATAATATTCCAAAATATTACTGGTTTTACTGTGTTTTCAATCAAATATGCAGTCTTGATAAGCATTAGAGACCTCGGTAACACTTTACTTGATGGGGTGTGCATAAGGCTGGCATGACACCTTCATAACCATGACATGACATATGTCTTGAATATGAAGGGTTTATGCATGTTTATGATAACTGTCATTAAGTGTAATTTGCTCAGTTATGACATTTTGAATGCAAATATGACATTGTTTAAGATGTCTTTGTTATGACATCTTGACATAAACCATAACATCATAACCTGTCAGTGTCTTTGTCATGACAACTTGACATTAAATGAAGTTAAACTGTCATGTGGTTGGCTTTGACATTGGCCGTCATGAGGACATTATAACTGTCATGAATATTTGTCGTGACCTCAACTACAGTGGCACTAATTGAATTTGTCATTAAAAAGTTATAATGGCTTCATGACAGCCAATGTCAAAACCAACCACATGACAGTTTAATGTAATGCTAACTAACCAATAAAGCTAGGTGGTTTCTTAAGTTTGATAATTAATCTGCTATGTCATGTTTATGACTGGTTGTGTTGTCTTAGTAATGTCTAGTTGTCCTGACAAAGACACTGACAGGTTATGATGTATTGGTTTATGTCAAGTTGTCATAAACAAGACATCTATAATGTTATATTTGCATTAAAAATGTCATACTTGAGCGAATGACACTTAATGACAGTTGTCACAAACATGCATAAAACCTCCTTCATATTCATAACGTGTCATGCCATGATCATGAAGGTGTCATCTTACTCTTATGTACACCCCTTCAAGTAAAGTGTTACCGAGACCTCTTTCAAAAACAGCTAAAATCATTGTGGACGTGGGATTTTTCCGTTTTCTTAAATTTTGAATTCTTTAAATTTTGATATACTGTACAAAATTATGATCTGGTCACTGTCATTGTCAAACATTGTGTTTGTTCACGATTCATATGCTGAACTACACTTGTGCATACTCTGCTTGGACACTTCATACATCTGCTAAAAATCAAAAATGGCTTATCGCTCGTAAGCCTGGTTTCACAGACAGGGCTTAGATTAAGCCAGGATTAGGCCTTAGTTCAATTGTGATATTTAAGTAGCTTTTTAAAAAAAAAAACAAAAAAAAAAAACATTACTGCTGTGCATCTTGAGACAAAACAATGGCACTGACATTTTAAGATATGCAAACATGCATTTTAGTCTGAGACTAGCTTAAACCTCGTCTGTGGAACCGGCCATTTGACACGCATACCCTTATGACAACACAATCCAGCAAACGTCTGTTGTTAATTACTCGCACACTCTTACTGTAGCAGTCAGATGATCTGAGAGAAGTGTCTCTTTCAGTGCTCGTTTGGCCCAGTAGTAAGATGATCATGTGTTTTGATGTGTTTGGTGATGTGAGAGCATCATATGCGTCATACAGTGAGTGTGATGAATCATTTACCAGCACAGTAAATTAAGGATTTACATTTGTTTCATCCTGTCACAGCGACCGCTTGAAGAAACATACTCATGGAGAAATGATGATGCATATGGATGCTGTTTATTATCAATTTAACAGGCAACGCCACTTTTTAATTTTTACATAACTAAAGCATATCTGGAGGTTATGTCACATTACATATCGCATCAGGATGTTTTCTGCATGACAATGACTGACAAGGCCAAAAGCCCACTTGTTTTTGTTTTATTATTTATGAGATTTTTGCATTTATGCTGTAGAAAGTATTAGAGGAGACGGGAAATGACGCAGGCTGCATACTTTGTAAGCACCATTTAAGACTCAAGGCTAAATATAAAATCAAAACAGACCCCCATTTGCATAGTACATTGATGCGTGTTATTCCACCTCTGAAATGTACTGTATTTCCTTTATGGCTTACGCCAACAAAACCACTTTGATTCAGACAGAGACAATGGAGGTCTTAAAGGGATAGTTTACCCAAAAATGAAGATTTGATGTTAATTTACTCACCCCCAGGGCCATCCAAGATGTAGGTTTTGTCTTCAGTTGATCAGTAAAGAAGATTTTTAGCTGAAACCGTTGCCCTTGCTGATGTAAATAATGCAAGTCAATGGTTACCGTCACTTTAAGAGTCAAAAAAACATATATTACAGGCATAACAAAATTACAACAAAAGTAGTGTGTGTAGTATTCATCAGGAGCCACAGGTATTCATTTTGTTTTGACTCTTAAAAAGTGACTATAACCATTGACTTGCGTTATATAAATCGCCAAGTACAACGGTTTCAGCTAAAAATCTTCTTTACTGTTCAGCTGAAGAAAAAAAAGTCAGCTACATCTTAGGTAAATTAAAAGCAAATTTTCATTTTCTGAGTGAGCTATACCTTTAATGGGGGCCGCTTTTTACAGTTTAATCAGTTGTGAATGGTTAAAATCATATCCCAACTTACTTTTGTTTCATGTTAACCCTATAAAGCCTTCTGTATCACATTTCTAAAGACTCTAAATTATTAGCATGGTAAAAACTTTGTTGCTAGACCTGTTGAACACAATCTACAACATGCCTTCTGTCGTCTGATTGATAGTTTCTACTTTTTAGCAAGTTAAAGGCCATTTAGTATAATTCTCTTCCCCTTCAGATCATTGTACACGTGTCTTTTTGCTGTGAAATCGTATAAAGTAAACATAAGATACATTTATATTATTATTAGTAATATGAACACAGGATGAAGCAGCATAGGTTTACTCTCGTATCCGTATGTTTTGCCTCCCTACACTAAAACTTAAGAACTTCAATATTAATGTGAGATATGGAGTGACAACTATGCAGGCACTCAATGATTTGCATTACAAGCTATCAGTAATTCATATTTATGGCTATATAAATTACAACATCTGCACCAAATTGTATATTTTTGATTTTAGACTTCTGTGTGATCAGTCTATAGTTAGTTTTACCGAAAAAAAGCTTCAGATTTCACATCATGGTTATAAGTTCCACATGGCATGAGTTTTGTTTGAGAACCTCACATTATCGTATACACATTATTTAAATTCTCACTCTGAGGGTTTGACGGTCATCGCCAAAGTCTCCAACCGGCGCATGAACACTTTGACTTGCATTCGAGAGCTGTGTGTCCACGCGAGGGGCAAGTGGGCCGAAACCGACTCTCGATCTGAAACAAACGACCTGTTATGAGGTTTTCTGAGTGCTATTGAACAAATCTAGACACATTAATGCAAATGTAACCATTTCTAACCAACATAATCACCTTGGAAGAAGGAACCGCTGGGAAATGCAGTGGAGGCGCGTGACACCGCGAGCCAGATGACCGTGTCGGCGCCCTGCTCCGCTGAACGCAGACGATCACGCATCATCTGGTGGAACAAAGGCATCGCCGTGGCAACCGCTGAGCATAACCAGAGCCAGAGATTACAAGTGATCAGCTGGACAGACAAGCTTGTAAAAAAAAGTATTAGTTAACTAAAACGGTTATGCAACATATATGACTTAGCCTATGTTAGCATAATTAACAGCCAATACTGAACTGGGGATTATGCCATTTAATTTATACTTTTATAAATGATTTAACCTAAATAACCATTTTTTACAGCATTTATTTTTATATTCATCTTTTTTTTAGTATATGTTAATGTTTGATAAAAAGTGAGAGAGCACGGCTATATAAAACATAATTTTGTGGGAAAACATGCAATAATTTGTCATTTTTGTCCTATTGTTTATTTTATTTCTTTGCTTGGTCAGCGTCGTTGTTTTTTTTTTTTTTTTTTTTTTTTTTTTGCAGTTCTAGGCTGTTAAGACCTTTTGAAATAACGAGGTGATATGGAACTGTAATGCGGTAAACTTGCCCGGAACCGAGCATTTACAAATCAATTCAACTGAAAATTTAAAGTAAACAAAATCATCATGCCAAACTAGCATATCAATGGTGATAAATGAAATTAGCAAATTAAAAGTAGCATATTTTCCTTGTTGACTTATAAACTGAACAATACCTGGTGTGTCGGCCCACCCAGGGTGCATCACATAGAAATTAATTTTGGGATTTGCTTTTGCCCAGACCTCTGTCATCACTACCTGCTGCCTCTGTGGACACACACACACAGTCTGAGGTGCACACAACGAGTGTTTAGTAAAAGGTCATCATCATTACTGCATCAGATGTTGTTCTAATGGAGACGCCAATGCTGGCACTTTGTGTCACCTGTTGCTTGGCAACAGCTTAGAAAGGTAACCCCGCTCATCTCTTTAATAGAAACTGTTCATGACTTTGAGTCCCTTTTCATGAATAAAATTATTTCATCACTAATCTTTTTTACATGTAATCCTTGTAAATTAATATCATAAGAAAATGTGTGCCAACACTTGACTGAAAAAAGTCTTATGGTTGAGTCTCAAATGGTAGGCTAATACTTTGATACATTGCATTGTATTGTCTGATTACCATATTTATATACAGACTTCATAAAATTAAGTATTACCACCCTGGTAGTGGCCAAAGAAAAAAAGGTATTAGCCTAGTTTTGAATGTTGTATTTTTGTGGCCCTTTTCTGTAAGGAAATAACTCAATTTTTAATTATTTTTTTATTACATGTAAAATTTTAAATGAAAGTTTACCTTTTTAAAACAGTTTTGAAAAAGAAAATGTCAGGGGGGGTACCCTAAAATATGCTAAATTAATAAATGCAAACATAAAGTATGAGTAATAAAAATAACAATGATTCGCTAATAAAACAAACCAAAAAAAAAAATGAAGAGGCAAAATTCTCTAAATACCTTGTTCTGTGCGTATACCATGGTAGCATCAAACGGAGCTCTCTCTGTCTGCAGGTCGTCTGCGTTTAGCTTCTGTACCAGCATTCCTCCCGATGACACTGTGATCTACAGACATTTTCAATATCAAGACACATTCATACCAAACATGGCACATCAAAAGAGAGAAACAGGAACCTCTGTGGATCTGCAGATTCCTGTTATGAAAATATAAACACATCTATCACAGGTTGTGACTGAATGCAAGCGTCTGGTTCCAGAAGTAAAAACTCAGAAGTAAAAATAGAAATTGATTTTTAACGATAACTTATGAAGCTTTAAAAGACAGCCCTATACTGTGAGCTAGGTTGTTAATGGATAGCAATGATTAGCATAGCTGGCATTATTTCAACTTAGTTTTAAAATAATCGTGTTTAACAGCAGAATTTGTGGAGAAAAACTACATTACCCATGATGCTATAGAGAAAACGAAAGCAATCAGTCAAAACAAGCAAAATGTGCCAAAAGATACACTTCCATAAAGCACTGCGAATGACAACATCAAGTCACTGTCCCTACACTCAAAATATTTCAATATTTATGCATATTTTGCAATAAACTTAAAACATTTTGTTTATATATAGACTATATATGGTCAATTCAGGGTGATTGGGAAACCTTTTGCCGTTAAAGGGATAGTTCACTTTGAAATTAATTTTTAGTATGTTTAAGGGCATCCAAGATGTAGGTGTCTTTGTTAGTAACATATAACAGTCTATAAATACGTTTCGTTTTCTCACACAAACCGTTCGTTTCGTGTCTTAGGCCATCAATTTGTACTTACATTTAGGAGTCATTAAATCATGTTTAATTTTGACTTCTCTGTGCATTTTGACGTGGACCCCCTAAACCTGCATTATATGACTGACAGACAAGAACGGTTTGAGTTAAAAATATCAAAATTGAAAATACTGTGAAAACAAAGACACCTACATATTGGATGCCATTGAGATAAGCTAAAACACATCAAAAATTGGTTTCAAAGTGAACTATCCCTTTAAGAAGACTTGGAAAAAACGTTCCAATCAACCTGAATTCACCTCTATATAATGATATCAGTCCATGAGCACATAATTTTATAAGGATATACATAAAATCAACGTTAATTTTTCAATGCTTAGTTATATTTCTCTCTATCCTGTTCGCAATGCTTCATGGGATTGTTCTTTCCCTCACTTAAGTAGTTAACTACACAGTCTTGTAGTTTTGTATTTTTGTCTGATTTTCAAATACTTTTTTCCTTCAAATCAAAGTTTGTAATGTTTAAATCCCTATGGGAGAAATGAATGAAAAAGATACTTCCAGAACCATCGCCTCTGAAAAAGTGGGCAGGCGTTAATGCACTCTGAATGCATTTATTTTAAAAATCAATGTTGTTTTTCACTCACAACTCGAGGGTCCCTGCTCTTCTCCAGCAATGGGAGCAGACATTTAGTGAGAATATAAACACCTGCAGAGGACGAAAAAAAAAAACGTTTTTATTAAATACTACAAGCAACATTATAATCTAAAACAGAATATATTTTCCACAAAAAAAAAAAAATATAATTTGGGGGGCAGATTTTATTCAGCAATAAATGTGACAGAACAGACACTTTTAATGCTACATGCTGTTCTTTTTAACTTTCCATTCATCAAATAATCCCAAAAAGAAAAAAAAAGTATCATGTCTTCCACAAAGATATTAAGCCGCACACTGTTTTCAACATTGATAATAATAAGCAATGTTTCTTGAGCAGCAAATTAGAATGATTTCTGAAAGATCATATGACACTGAAGACTTAAAGATGCCGAAAATTCAGGAATAAATTAGTTATTTTAAATAGTAATAATGTTACACAATATTACTGTTGACATGACATGCAGGAAAATATATATATATATATATAGTACAGTATATCGTGACCACAAATGAACAATTTGTTCCCACGAGTTACGAATACATCAGCATGTTTTACTAATTCTTTCCCTATATTTTTTCAAGTAGCCTAAATAGTGAGCAGGATATAAAAATCAATTCCCTCAATTTACTAAAGCGTGACCACGTTGTACTAATTTGTTGCTTTGTTTTAGTTAAATCAAAATGATTAGTTCAATGTGGCCACGATTTACTGAAACAAATGTTTGTCCACATGCAAGTCATGTGCGGAGCTCTGTAGTTTTTACTGTGTTTTTGATTAAAACAAATGAAGTCTTGGTCAGCATAAAACATTTTTAAAAACTGATACACAATGCAACGGTGCATCGTGTCTTACCAAGAGTATTGGTCGCAAAGTTTTTCTCCAGTCCGTCAGAGTTCATTTCCCTCTGGTTCACCATACATCCGGCATTATTGATCTGATGGGGGTTAGTGGGAGACAGAGGAGAGGGTGTTTCTTCTTCTGTCTTGCACCTTTAACCTCCAGCTGATTGGTGTGTTTTCTTTAATATACTGAGGTATGATGTGAATCTCCAAAAGGAGCTCTCTAACATACCAAAACATTGAGAGACGAGTGCTCCTTCTTAAAGACCTCTGCGAACTCCCACACCTTCCTCGCCTCAGAGAGGTCCAACACGTGGACGTAAACCTCCTACGGTAGATGCACATCACAATACAAATCATTCAAAATCAATCCATTATTACAAATAGCTAGTGGCTGGTTACCAACATTCTTCAAAATATCTTTTGTGTTCAGCAGAAGAAAGAAACTCAGGTTTGGAGTAACTTGAGGGTGATTAGCCTAAATGATGACAACATTATCATTTTTGGGTGAGCTATCCCTTTAACGAGACTCACAGTATTTCCACTTGCTGAGATGATTTCTTCTCTGGCTTTCTCAGCTCGCTCTTTGTTTCTGCAGACAATATGGACAGTGCCACCTTGGATAGGAGAAAAACAATACAAATGACAAAATGAATGAAAGAATTAATGAAGGTACCATATTTTTCAATGTTAAATGACGCGGCTTGTTGCTTGTTGAGGAGAGGTCTGATTTTACAGTATTTTTCTTCTATGCATTTCTAGCAACACCCTTGCAAATGCATTGCAACACGTTAAAATGCACTCAATTGCAAGTCCATAAATGTAGAACACTTTAGCAACCATACAACACCCTACTATAACAATGAGTTTTGTATGCGTAGCACCACTCACGTGCCCTTCTGAAAATGTAAAAATGTGGTTGTTGTTATTATTATTTTTGTCTCACATGACAGAAGGAATGCAAATGGCACAACTTGGCAATGGGTAAAGTATGCAAAACAAAAATTACTTAAAGGAGTAGTTCACTTTAAAAAAAAAAAAAAACTTTTGCTGATAATTTACTCACCCTCATGTCATCCAAGATGTCCATGTCTTTCTTTCTTCAGTCGAAAAGAAATTAAGGTTTTTGATGAAAACATTCCAGGATTTTTCTTCTGTTCAAGGTCCAAACTGCAAACTGTTCAAAGGGCTTTAAACGATTCCAGACGACGAAAAAGGTCTTATCAAGCGAAACTATAAGTCATTTAAAAAAAAAAAAAGTTTAAGTTTTATAAGCTCAAATGGTCGCCTTGCTCTGTTCTGTGATGCGCGTTTGTGACTCTCCTGTTCGAACTCGTTCATCAAAATGAACAAATCTTTTTTCGAGTCATTTAAAGCCCTTTGAACAGTTTGCACTGAAACTGTCATTTGGACCTTGAACCGTTTGGTTACCAGTAAAGTCCATTATATGGAGAAAAATGCTGGAATGTTTTCATCAAAAACCTTAATTTCTTTTCGACTGATGAAGAAAGAAAGACATGGACATCTTGAATGACATGGGGGTGAATAAATTATCAGCAAAAGTTTTTTTTTTAAAGTGAACTACTCCTTTAACAGTGTCCTGTACACAATTCATTTTTCCAACTGGATTAAAATGCTTAAACCCAGACCTCATGAAGTCTAAACAATAAATATATTTATAGGTTTTTTTTATAATTTTGTTATATTGTTTTTATGAAAAGTTAAAAAGTTTTGGGTCAATAAGCTTTTTTTTAAAAACTTTTATTCGGCAAAGATGACAATAAAGATATGATATATATATATATATATATATATATATATATATATATATATATATATATATATATATATATATATATATATATATATATATATATATATATATATGAAGAGTTCAGATAACACAGTAAGTGCCATTTGAAATTTTCTTCTAGAATGATCATTTTTTATCAAGCTTGTACATTTAAGTTCAGTGATTTCACTTAAATGGCAATGATAATTACCTATTAATTGTTATTTAAGTGAAATTACTGAACTTAAATATACAAGCTTGATAAAAATCATCATTAAAGAAGAAAATTTCAAATGGCATTTAGAGGCTTTTGCATCTGAACTCATATATATATATATATATATATATATATAGGCTATAGGCCCAGTATGTAGGCTTTATGTAACATAAATGACAAAGATAATTACTCAATATGATATTTACAGTATCAAAGCATCATGGTACTGTCTGCTGCCGTCTTTATAGTACCATCACAAATAGATTAGTGGTTGGAAAAATAATCCTGTAACCTAAAAAGTGTGTTAATCATCTAACTGTAAAATTAACCTTTTTTTGCTATGGCCATGGCTGTCGCCTTCCCTATTCCGCTGTTGGCTCCAGTGATCATGAAGGAACGCCCCACCATAGACACATCCAGGTCCTTTTCTACAAAGCCCTTAGACGCATTCTCAAACCCAGACCTGCTGACGACATCAAACAAATGAAGCAAATCAGAAACATGACCAAAATGAAACCTCAAGCGCTATGCTATTATCTCTAAAAGTGTCAACAATTCTTGAATTGTTTTGTGACCTCTTGACATCTGAGACAGTGCTCCTAAGATCAGGGGCCAAAGGAGCTTCTGTGTGGGATGACAGGGCATTAGAGAGAAAGGCAGGGGGCTCAATAGGGCCCATTGTGATGCAATGATGACTGACCTTAAACTGAGGGCTTGGATGAATGCATTTCAGAGGAGATGACTTAGGAAACTACAAAAACAACATTTGTGCAAAGAAACCACGCTATCTAACAACATTTGGCTTGTCAGGACACAGTTTAAAGCTGTGTTTTGAAGCAGTAACTAAATACTCTGGCCAGAATAATTTTGTGTAAAATTATGAAATGTTCATAAAACCATTTTATTCCGGTTAAAAACAATAACACACTAATTAAAACCAGTGCGACTCAAAAGTTATCAGCAACAAAGCAGCCTAGGGACCACACCAATACAATAAACTGAAGAATTCAGCAATTAATGAATACAAAAAATAAATAAATGAATAATAATAATAATAACTTTACCTTGTATACTCCCTCATTCCTTTGATAAACCACACTATATTCCTGTAGAGAGACATTGCACTGTTGTTTCCTCTAAACTGGACTGGACTGAAGTGATAGCTGACAGTTTCATGTGACTACTGTAGTTCCAGAGTGCTCCCTCTAGTGTCAGGGTACAGGTAATCAATTTCACACCAATGGGGTCATGCAAATCAAATAATGGGGGTTCCATTATTTAGCCTTTTATGCACACAAATGACCTTCAAAAAGACCCCAAAACCCCATAACCAAAAACTTTAGAACAAATGTACGTTAGTAACTGTACTTTTGTTTTTAATTCCCAACATCTTTAGTGATTTCAAAATAATTATTTCCCTCCCAGCAAAAAAATGTCATTTGCCAATCTATATATATATTTAAAAAAAATTCTAAGTGTTTTTTTTTTTTTTTTTTTTTAAGTCTGACCTTACAACACTTCATGGAAAAATAAAGTATAATCTTACGGTAGTTCTTGAGTCAAGGGATGAAAATATAACAGTAGTGATGAAAATAACAAACAATACTGTATTTTTTAATATATTTATACATTACTACATTACTTCTTGTAGTAATGTAGTAATGTATAAGTTTACAGTTGTTTACATTACTATAGTTTAGTTCTTTAATCCTTGTTTGCGTTTTTAAGTGGTTTATTTAACAACATAGTAATTTATTATGTCATATGTCATCTTTATTCATAAATATCAAGGCGGCATTTACACAAGGCGTAGAGGAAAATTTGTGAGTAGGGTGTTGCCCCGCCCCTTTTCAAGCCAGGTGCAGAGTGTTTTGACCAATCAGAGCTCATATAGTGGAGGCGAAAACGGAGCCATGAGCTCAGCAACGCGTCTGCGCATGCGCAGCTTTACTCTCTCCACAGTTCGGGAAGGGAAGAGATGATTCCGGCCCTGACCAGCCGGGAAGTGAGTAGGAATTTAGTGGATTTCGACACGCCTTCCTTAATTCTTACTTCAAGATGGTAAGTTAGACTGTACTTTTTTCACTCGCCTAAAAGCTCAATTTTAGATCCCATATGTTGGATGACAGGTCATTTCTTCCACAGGTTGTGCTCGTGCACCTGTCCGGACGTATACGCGAATGCACCTGCGGACTTTAATAGTTCCGTTCCGTCCTATATGCTGAGTTTTTATTACTAACTAAATGAAACAGAGTCATTTAAAGCTGCTGTAATTCACCTAAAGGTGTTTTATTCAAAGTCTAAACAAATTAATCGGATGTCATTTAAATGCTGAAGGATTTGATAGTGTCGTTTCTGTGGTGTCATCTCAACTGTCTGGATAAACCGGTTGGTTGGCTGGTTTGTTTCCCTTGATATTGAAACTTTGGCTCTCTAAAGGAGCATTTTGTATCTAGACAACTTATATGCAATATCCTGGTTTAAGTGACTTGATTTGGCTGGCAGGTAAACTCTTTTATCTGTTGTTCAAATAGGGCCACTGTGTGTTTGACTTCTGCTGAGTGACTTTCAGTTCCTCTGTAAAGTCAAATTTCTGGTTAATGTTTGCAAGAATGAAAAGTAATGAGTGTATGGGAGTACTTTACAAAACATTTACAACATTATATTATTAATTAAATAGTATTAGTTTTTTATTAAAGTATGTAAGTCTTTAATATTATTGAGTAATAATAATTAAAAAAATAAATAAATAAATACCCCCAGTTTCACTGGCAAGTCCCAAACTTAAATATATGTTTGAGCTATTTTAAACTGAGAGCAAATTGTACTTATCTTAATATGTCAGTGCCATTTTTCTCTCTCAAGATGCACACACCCGTAATGTTTTTTTTTTTCTAAGGCACAAAAGCGACTTAATTGTCCTAATTAAACTAAGGCCTAATCCTGCATTAGTCAAAGCCCTGTCTGTGAAAAACAGGCCATTATTTATTAATATAATTTTTTTTATAGCTGTTTTAATATGTCAGCTCTGACACTGTCTCAACTTATTCTGTCTCCATGCTGAGTAATTACAAGTGATGCAGAAGTGGCCCTTTTAATTTCAAAGAGATAACAACACACTGCAGAATCTCATTTAAACCGCAGCAGTAAAGCCTGCGAGTGTGTTTGTAAGCACATTTTCCTGTGTGCCCCTCACAGCTGCGTTGACTCCAACAATAAAAGGAAAATGAAATCAGAGCATCAGAGAACTGGAATCAAAGCAGGAACTCAAGAGGAAGCTCAGAGCTTCATTCAAACCTTCCCCCAGTGAAACTTTGTGTGTGGGAGAGAGCGAGAGAGAGAGGAGTGTGTGTGTGTGTGTGTGTGAGGAATGTAGTAATAAAGATGTGTGTAACTCAATAGCTGTAGCACACTATTTCCTATCTCATTTCTTTTCCTGTTGTCGTTTGATGGGTGTGCCGCTGCCGTGATAAAGAAAGGCTTCAGAGAATCGTTTTCCTCTGGAGCACAATAGTAGACCAGACGCGGTGCATGCTTCTGTTTCCTTGTTTTTTCCTTGTGTTTTCATCTTTCATCCCTCGTCAGGATTTTCTTAGGAAGCAAATATACTCTTTGCCAGCATGCTTCTGTCGTAGCAGTGAAGCAGCTGACGGTTCAGTTTCACCACCTGGTGTTTCTGCATCTGTTTGCATATGTGTTTGAGAGCAAAATGAGTTGCTTGCTGCATCAGATTCATTAATTGGTTGATGGTTGCTTCTCGTGGTCCAAGCCCCACGAGGCATGAGCATTGAGTCACCATCATTGTGCTTTTGCACTTACGTCATGTCACCTTATATAGCGCTTTGTACAATACAGATTGTTTCAAAGCAGCTTTAGAGGGATAAACAGGAAAATAATAATTCAGTGATGCAAACATGATTCAGTTCGGTTGTAAAGCAGGTCAGTTCAATGTTGAAATGTCAAATTGAGCTATAAACAACTTCTCAGAAGACAATAATAGTACCGTTATTCACTTTTGAGTTGATTTAATTCAATTCTGTAACAGTTTTGTTCTCATCCAATAGTTTCAGATGTAGTCGGATCCATAATATTAAAATGCATAAGAGAATCATACCTGTAATTAAAGTGTAGTGGGATAGCTATGTGTAGTTGCTGCTTTTGTAACAGTTATGTAATGCAATAATCAATAAATATTTCGAACATTATATATTGTTGTCATATTGACCTCATAATGTTATTTTTAATAGCAATTGGCATACAGTCAACATCTTAGAAATAAAAACAATAATTAGCACTTTTAATCTAATTTTAAGTTGACATTTTGTAACTTTTGGCAGTGTAATTAATTGAGTCATGAAAACAATTTAAAGCCACGCAACCAAAATTAGAAATTCCTATTTTTTTAATGGAATATCACTGTATAATAAATGATTTATCCTTGCACATGCATCATTATTTTTTTTTTAATTTGTGTGCCCTCGTAATTTTTATTAATACATAACATATCCTTCCTCTTGTATCGACAAATGTGTTACTGGCATGAGGGCGGGACGACCTGTCACTCGCATGACATCACAGCAATAGCTAACCACATAGATCCGGTCAATTCCCAATGGTCAATATCTAGTCCCACCACCCAAGGTTTTTTTTTCTTTTTAAAGTGTTTTTACTCAAATATACTAGTTTCATTTAACTTTTAAAGAGGTGATGAACTGAGAAATCACATTTTCCTTGAGCTTTTGACATCTAAGAGTTTATCATAAGAAAATCTTGTTAGTCCAATAAAAGCTTTTATTGACACCAGCCTCTGCAGACGACTCGTTTTTCAAAGTGGGGAACTCTGACGTCAAAGAGGATAAAACCCCACCCCAGCAAAAGAAGATCAACTCCTACTTCAACACAGCCGGTTTAGCCCCGCCCACCGATTCGCACATTACACGCATAGCTAAATAACATAGATGCCTACCTTGTGATGACAAACTGGATCGAGATTCCGAGCAATACAGAATATTTTGCAGTGCCTGGTTGTGGAAGAAGACAGTCGCTGCATAAGCTTCCTCTGGATTCCAATAGGACTGCATGGATAAACTTTATTTTTAATGACGTTCCAGCTGATGAGGGTAAAACATTGTCCATCTGTTCGCTTCATTTCACTGACGATTGTTTTGTAAATAAGACTGGATTTGCAGACCAGATATTGGATATTGGATCTGACAGGAATTGTGCAACACACGGACTCTAGGTCGAACATGTATGGGGGAATCATTCCGGTTGCCATTTTACAACATTGGACGTTTTCAAAACAATTCCCCCCACGTACATCGATGGGTGAGTTGAAACTCATTATAATATGCAATTGTTATCGACTCACAGCAGTGGGCATTTACTTCCAAGTCTTCAGTGCGAGACGCCCATAAAAACCGAGCGTTTTTCAGCTAGGCTCAAAACTAGGTACAAAATAGCCTATTACTTAATTCATTTAGATGTTTTTAAATGTAAAAACCAAGCGAATGTCATACAGTAAGTTTACATCAGACAACAATATAATCAAATTTAAAAAGCCAGTTCATGACCCCATTTGTTGAAAGCTTCCCGATGTCGACTCTCGTCTTATTCCGTGTCCGATGCCTGACGCTAGACAATTTTATTTTCTTAGTCTTATGTGGAGTTTGCGTTGGGGTTTGGAATGAACTACAAGCCAGTCTCTTTGAATCCATCGTCAACTTTTGTCGAAAGTTGACTAAAGTTGTGTCGCTCGAGTTGTCTTCTCTGATACGGAGAATGGCGGCGAATACACAAACCTGCCAGACGTAGCCAGGCGAGCGTGAATTCGCATGACGTCACGCCCAGTCTCAAATTCGAACCCGAATCCCTCTTATTTATCCCTCTTATTTATTTTACTGTACAGCATTATAGAGGCAATCGCAGTGATCAGAGAAGGGCTCATTCAGCCCATCAGGCAATGAAAAATTAAAAATGGCTATTTTTAACATGAAATGTTGCATAATGCACCTTTAAAGTGCTTTCAGTTTATTAGTCACACTGCAGATCAAAGGTTCAATGACAGTACATTCACTGTTTTATATTGTGAATGTTTTGTAGTGTGTGTATATATATATATATATATATATATATATATATATATTGCACAGCTCTCATCTAAAGAACTAGGCTATTTATTATTTGCCCAATTGTTATGAAGGTGTTTGTATTGCATGCTGCTTTATTGCACGTCATTACTCATTTCTGTGAAGTTTTTCTTGTGAATTACCCTTTCCCAGCAATAAAAGTGAACACTCCAGTTCTAGTTTTTGTTTTTTAATCATGTTTCAAAAATGTGACTCCGGTTTCTATGTAATAGTTTCTGTAATAGTTGTCGGTGTGGCTTGTGACCTGAAAAGTCAGTGGAAATAGCAGCTTATCGCAGGTTTGTGTGAATCACAATGAGAGACTCATCACATATTCTCTGCCCAGTCGTGACGTTTGTCTATGTGAGAAGACAAGGCTTTTTCAAGCGTTGCCAGATTTTCTGTGCAAAATGAGAGGGGGAGGTGAAATTAGGATGCGTTCCCTGAGATTTTGTTCTCAGTATCATTGCATTGAGCTGATTTAGTTCTTGTGTGGAAAATATTCACATAGAAGTCAGTCCTGTGGTTGACAGTGGCTCTTTGTCTCATGGATATTGAGTCTCGCATCGATTTGGTTTGTGTGACGGGGAACGGTTAGCCATAGTTTTCTGTCTGAGATGCAGTTCGTCTCTTTCTCTGTATTTCATGGTTTCTGAAATCAGATCTGTGGGCTTTTTGCAACTGTTGTTACGAAAACAGAAAGACAGGAGACAGGAAATTATGGAAATGCGATCAGAACAAAATGCAGGCCAGACGTGAACCCGCTTCTCTCACATGAGCACCACAACTCAACATCCATGTGTGTGCTAAGCTATAGCTTAAATAATTTAAAGATCATTTTTGCACTTGAGAGAAAATATTTGGAAATTACAAATGCATTTCATCAGCCCTTCTTTTTCAACTCGACTCAGTTGTAACGCTGCCAAAAAGCTTTATTTCACCGATTGAGAATGTAAACGTTAAGTAAGTCTGCTGTCAAAGACTTTAAGACAAACACAAGTTCGGAAGAAGCCGATGCAAATACTCCATAGAGTTTATTTGTAACCCTGAGATGTCAGTCGAAAACTGTGACTGAGAAGTGGTCAAATTGGACAGATGCTGAAATTAAAAAGGATAAAAAGATGATGAAATTAATTAGTGACAGATTGCTGTTGAAGATTCCTTTAAGGTCCTGCTGGGTTTCCAGCACATCTGTTCAAATGTAATTGTCATTAGAGTTTTGGTGCTCAAGTAAATAGTTGATCTTGTATAATTGTATGGCATTGTTAAAGGAATGCACCGATATGACAATTTTGGCCGATACCGATAACCGATAATTCTTTATATTCGAAAGCCGATAAGTGATATTTTGGCCGATAAATCTAAATCCAAATTTTTTGACAATTTTTGATTTTCCTCATTAAAAGCCAAGAACACAATTATGATGTTCTTATTTTAATGTTTTGTAGCCAATATGACAGACTTGCGCTGCACATTTTGCACTTTAACTGGATTTTCCTTTTTTAAAGTGATTTCAATCGTATTTCAAGCAATTTAAAAGCATCGTGTTGACCAGTGTACATCTAAAGTGCCTCAGCTCAAGGAAATAATACATTATTTATCTAAATGTTCTTGTTGGGCCGATAACGATAACATTAAAAATGATCATATATCGGCCGATACCGATAATGTGGCCGATATATCGTGCATCCCTAGCGTTGTTCATGTGAGAAAGTGGCTGATGGCATGTAAATAATAAGGAAACAGGTACACTTTGTAATATTCACTATGATTTTACAGAGTATAAAGTCCACCCACTTGAATATTTTTGACTTTGGTGTGAAAGCCCTTTGTTCACCTGCAGTGTTGCAGACTTTTTCTCGACCATCTGCTCCCCAGCAGCATCTGCAGAAAACCCCTGCTTATAGAATTTTGTTGTAGTAGGTGTTCAATACAAAAAGCAACATTTGTTTAAAATTTAAAAGTAAAGCAATGCATAATTTAGCAATTATCCAGAGTGACTTTGTATTTTTACTGCAGACACTATTTCTCATGGGTGTGCTCAAAGGCTCCGTGTTGGTAACTCATTAACCTCTGGGGTTTGAACCTACAACCTTTGTGTAACCAACCTGGATCATTAACCACTGAGCCAAACCCTTTCCAAATTAACTAAGAGTGATAGCAGAATATGCATTTTAATTGGATGGTTTCCCAACAGATGCATTTCCTGTTGCTGTTCAGTCGTCAGGGGAAGTTGCGTCTGCAGAAATGGTTCCTGCCCCTGCCGGAGAGAGAGAGGAAGAAGATTGTGAAGGACATGACCACTATGGTGCTGGCACGGAAACCACGCACATGCAACTTCATGCACTGGAAGGACCTGAAGATTGTCTATAAGAGGTGAGCATTTAACCCAGGCCAGTGGAATACATTTCGGAACAAACGTGTTCCTCGCATGTGTATTGTAAAAGAACATGCTGGCTTCAAACAAAATGATGGTGGATTTAGATTCAGAATTAATGAAACCCCCAGCTGCTAGGCTCTCATGTTTTGTTTGGTCATTAGTCATCAATAGGTGTGAGAAGAAAACTAAATTCTTACAAAGCAGACACATAGTCAGCAGTCAGGATCTTATGTGGTCTAATTAAAATACCACATGCAACGGTTTCTATGCTTTCAACATTTTCGAATAGGGTTTTTAAACCGGTTCAGTCCGGTTCTCATGCCATTACTGATGTCATTAACTGATGACATGCCACTATCTAAGTCCTCCTTGTTTTCCAGCGAAAACTAGTGTCTGCTTCCTACACAATGGCCCCCTATTACCACACAATCAGGGCTTGACATGATCTGTTTTGCTCACCAGCCACTGGTGGTTAATAGCCACTTAGCTTTCACTGGCCACAATTTTGACATTGACGCCATGGGGAAAAACGGCCTTATACATCATAATTTGGCAGCAAGTGTATCAGGCTTCTGTCACTTTAAACCCCGACACATGGATCCATTATGCTGTTACACGTGTTTTCTTTCTCAACTGTTTACGCTCTCTTAAAACAACTGTCTGTGTTACTGTGTTACATGAATACTCACCAGGACCGGTATTTGGACATTATTTTGTGTGTATTTGACTGTTTAAGTGCAATAAGAGCTTTAAAATAAACATTAAAAGGAGCATTTCAGCATTGATAATAAGAAGAAATGTTACATGATCAGCAAATCCGCTTATTACAATGATTTCTGAAGGATCATGTGTCACTAAAAAAACGTTTAAACCAGTATTGGAAGTATTTCAGATAAATCTATATTTTTGACAACACTACATTGCACTTAGTTTAATATTGCTGATGCTTTTTATAAGACTGCAATTAAAAATTGTATATATTATATAAAATGTTTTTCGCCGAAGTTGATGGGAGTAACTTCATCACACGTCACTACAATTCATATATTGTCCATAATGAAAGTGGACTTATATAACCGAACTTGGAAATGGTAGTGTTTTGCTTAAATTTATTATAATAATAAATCAATTATTTATTATAATACAAATATAATATGTAAAATGAGCTTATTTTCATGTTATCGTTGTAAAGCTGCTTTGAAGCAATCTGTATTGTATAAAGCGCTATCAAATTAAATGGAACTTGACTTAGAAGCTGTACAAGAGCATGTTTAATGCCTCCTCTGAACATTGTAGTCACCAATCACCATACAATTTCACTAATGTGACATTCCAAGTAAAACAGGACAGGGAATTGGTTTGATCATAAAAAGTGAGTGTTACATTCCTAAATGGTATATGTTTAACCTATAAAGAACCATAAAGTCAACCCTATATAGTAGAAAATGTCTTAAAACAGTATTTGTATTTGTATTTAAGATGTGAAGATAAACATTGAACAAGTATTTCTGAGAAAATATGTTTAATTTTGCTTCTAGACTTGAATGCTTCAGTACCTGGCTATATTCTTAGACACAGCCCAGATTTTTATGCGGCATCAAATCCTTCTGTTGTGTTTCTGAGAGCGAGTTTTCACACGTGTGTTCCTGAGAGCCTGTTACTCACACTCGTCTGGTACAGATCTGTATTTCACACCCTTTTTAACCTGTTTGTCCGTTCATTCCTGTTGTTTTCTGTGATTGTTTTTTATAAATATGGAGGTTTGCTATGCCAGCACTTGTGTGACAGGGACTGAAGGTGGCAATTGTGAGGATAGTGTGCAATAAATTAACTCTAAAAGCAATTGCTGTTGTCCATGTTATGCCAGTTCATGGTTGGGTGAACACTTTGTATAAATATAAATAAATGTTCATCTCTATGTGTTTTTCCACTTGTTTCTAGGTATGCCAGTCTGTATTTCTGCTGTGGTTTGGAGAATCAGGATAATGAGCTTCTGGCTTTAGAGATCCTGCACCGTTATGTGGAGCTACTCGACAAATACTTTGGCAATGTAAATATATCCAGTTTCTCTAGAGCAAATATTTGATATATTTGATAAATGGCACGGTACAATATACAGTATATACTAGTACCTGTCAAAAGTTTGGAAACATTATTATTATTTTTTTTATGTTTTTGAAAGTAGCCTCTTATGCTCACCAAGACTGCATTTATTTGATTTAAAAAAAAAAAAAAGTAATATTGTGAAATAGTATTACGATTTAAAATTATTGTTTTCTATTTTAGTAAATTAAAAAAATTCATGTGATTTTAAAGCTAAACTTTCAGCATTGTTACTCTTGTGTTTAGTGTCGCATGATCCTTCAGAAATCATTCTAATATGCTGGTTTGGTGCTCGGGTAGAAATTCATTATTGCAGAAATTGATTGATGCTTACAATTTTTGTTTAAACAATGATACCATTCAAACATTTGTTGTAAGATTTAAAAAAAAGAGAAAAGTAATACTTTTATTTATCAAGGATGCTATAAATTGATCAAAAGTGACAGTGAAGACCTTTATAATGTTACAAAAGATTTCTATTTAATACATGATTTAAAAAAAAAAAACATGTCATAAATGTTGTTCATTAAACTTTCTATCCATCAAACATTTCTGAAAAAAAGTATCACCATTTCAAGCCGTTTTCAGCATTGATAATGCGAAATGTTACCTAAGCAGCAAATTAGCATATTAGAATGATTTCTGAAGGATCATGTGACACTAAAAACCTATTCAAATGAATATTTTTCTTTTAATTTGTAATAATATTTCGCAATTTAACTGTATTTTTGATTAAATAAATATCCTTAGTGAGCATAAGAGACTTCTTTTATTCATTTATTTTTTCATAGACCTCACTGAACACTGAACTTTTATTCTTTACTTTCTGATTTATTTGTTTTACCAATTTCTGTCTGTGCAATATTGTCTTGCAGGTGTGTGAGCTGGACATTATCTTTAACTTTGAGAAGGCTTATTTCATCCTGGATGAGTTTCTGATGGGCGGAGAGATCCAGGAGACGTCTAAACAGTCTATTGCGAGGTCTGTAGAGGCGTCAGATATGCTGCAAGAGGTGAGACACTAAATCGTATCTGCATTCAGTTTCATTCATTTGAAAAATAAAGCTAAACATGAAGACTCATTTGTTCAATGGTATTGAAAAAGGATAAAAATAAGCACATTAACAATTGTTAGTTAGGTGTCTGAGCCGAACATTTCAGATCAGAGAACCTGCAACTGTTTTAAAGGTGCTGCCCACTTATAGAGCTCTACTTTAGCCATCACCTTCATAAAACATTATTGATTTGACGATAAGAGAGAGTGCGAGAGTGAGGTTTTACAGAGCAGCTCCCAACGCTGCTAAATTCCTGCTTTCCCAGCAGTGGCGTAGCCAGGGGAGGGGCCATGGGGGCACTGGCCCCTCCTGAAAACTGATTGGCCCCCCAGTGTGCCCCCACCCTTCTAATTGTCTGTCACTCAAAAATTCAAATCATAATCTTTCAGCTTGTAGTAGAATAATTCATGATTCCGCGTCGCGCGATGCTTCTCAAAACCACACGGTAAGTTGATATATTTTATACAGCTTATTATTTTTTAAGGAAAGACGATGTGTATTCTAATACATTGCTTTCAGCTGGTAAGTGGAATGTGATAAAGCCTGGAGTGGAGCGAAAGCACGTTCCTCTCTCCACTCTAAGCATTCTGTAATCACTTCGCTCATGGTCCACTCCGGTTTTTCAATTCCCGCTCACGGAAAAACTGCTCCATGTTCACTCAATTAGTCTTAGATTTTGAGAAGTGCATGTCAGGCTACTGCTCGCTCGTTTGCTGCGGTCGTATGATAGAAAACAGAACGCGGGTCAATATTGGTCGTTTCTCAATACCAAGAACGCAAACTTCGGAGAACGAACTCCCGAGGACGAGAGGACGCGAGTCCGGTCATTCTGCTAATGGAATAGCGCGTTCTTGATCGCGTCACTCAGCACGCGGCTACTCCGGTTATCTCTTATATGGTATAAAACACAACTTTGCTTCTTTTCATCAACAATAAAACGAAATACATATAAAACAGCACTCTGCCTCATTTAATTTATAAATGGACATATTATCATGAACAGATTAATGGCCACAAAAATGTGGTTCAGGTAGCCTACTCACATTGACTATCTTCACTGCATATATTTATAACACGAAATATAAAACACAACCCTGCTTCTTTTTGTTTTCATTTTAAAAATGTGAAACATTATTGATCATTAAAACTGACATTTAACAAACAGACATGTATCGTTTTATTGTATTACACACAGTGAAGAGAATAGTAAAAACATACACATATAAAGAATATTTTATATATTTTAGAATATATAAAATTACAACCCTGTCTCTTTTGTTAAATGTCAGTTTTAATGATAATATCCCATTCAAAAGTATAAGTAGCCTAATAGGTAGGCTATAATAAGCTATACAAATAAAGTAAACAATTCAGTTAAACATAAGTCAGCTCTCTAATGGGATACAAAGTTAAAGTTAAATAGCCAGTTAAATATATAAAGTTATGAAACTTCACTTTTCCCTCAGCCAGTTAGCATTGTTTGGTCTTATAAGATAAATAAAAACATGCACTGAAAAGTTATGTAGATGGTTGATTAGGCCTATTTGTCAAGATAAGTAATTGTTAGATTAAAATAGCTTTTAAATTACGCAAACTGGCAATATTAGATCGGTTTAAAACATCTCTCCTTAAAACGCTATTGGTCTCGACTATTTAAATAAAGTTACAGGAATATGACTTGGCCTAAAAAAAAAAAAAAATCAGTCAAAAGAATTTTTTTAATTTAATCCCTGCATCCAGAAACATTCTCAAATAAAAAAAATATAAAAAAGATAATTAAATAAAAATGCATGATTAAATAGCAAAATAAATAATTAATACTACTGGATAATTACGTCACTGTTTCTATGATCCACATATATTACATTAAACTAAATCATACCTTTTTGAAAAAGTAGCTATCTAACAAAGTATTATATGTCATATTTTACAATCAATATGCTCAAGACTAATTAGCCTTCCTCGAAATAAGCAGATTTGGTCTATTCATCAATGCAAATTTACTGCAACTGCTGAAATGCAAATTGAATAGGATGTGGGGAAAAAGATGTATACAATTTTATTACAGTTTTATGAATTCATTAATTGTGTATTTATTATATGAATGATTAATATAATTATGCATTTATATAAATAAGGCTGTTCTATTATTATTTGTGAGTTGGACACTAATACATTGGATTATTTTATTTATTACAGTTTTTCTATCACTTTTGTAAAGTGAAAAGTTAATATAAATTGTATTTTATTGTTTTGATTTAGAGCAGTAAATAACTGCTATTAAAAGATAACAGGGTATCACTGTTTATTGATGATTTTAAAGCTTACTGAACTTGAAATGATTTGGATATCTATAGTTCTACATAAATACACAACATAAGAATGGCCCCTCTGTAATAATTTTTATTATACCTTTATTTAACCAGGAAATAATTGTGGCCCCTCTTGTGCCCCCCAGTTGAAAAAATCCTAGAATCGCCCCTGTTTCCCAGCATGCCTCTAATAAACCAGACCACATTAAAAGAATAGTTCACCCAAAAATGAATATGATGTCATTATTTAATATTTTAGGAAAATGGCATAGGGGCTATAAATGAAATATGGGTGAATAAATGAAGACTTTGTCAACGTCTGAGTCAACGGGTCTTTTAAAATCCATATCGCCTCTAATCATTTGTTGTCCGTATATCATTCTAATAAGCAGGGTCCATAGATCGGAAGGAGTTAACCTCAGCAAGGGAAGCTGAAAATGTCACTTCACATTATGGTAATCAGTTATGTGCCTGTTTTCTTCTCTTCAGACGATGGAAGAATACATGAGCAAACCAGCCTTCTGACAGCAGCCGACGTGACGCGAGGTGACAAAAGGGAAAGAAAAATGCCTCCGCAGTGTAGGTTGTGTCCTTCACTCAGGACTTTATTCATGAGGGCTGCATAGGAATGGTTTTTATTTATTGTTTTTTTTTTTCATTGCTGGTATAAACATCCTTATCTATTCCACTCAAGTTTAATATAACTGAATCAGGGTTCATGTGGCATTTTTGAATTTAATTATGTTTTGTCAACTTCTAGATAAATGTAATTTCAATGATGAAGCACTTTTATACCAAAATGATTTTATATATAATAATCAAATATTTGAAATAACCTTAAAGCTTAGTTAAGTGCCTTTCCATGTTATTGAACATGTTGCATGTCTCAGGAGACATTTAGCTCAAGAAGAAAAAAACAACAACATTTGATGGAATATTAACGCTGCTTTGTGAGCACACTTTGTTGATATTGTCTTATTAAAATTGTCTTTGTGATATGATTCAGTCTCAGTCAAGTGTTTGCCTCAATTTTCTTTAATGAAATGCATCAGGTGCTTTCTAAAATCCTTCCAGCAATTTTGTTTTTCTATTAATTCTTTTTTTCAGGTCCTGGATCTTTATTTTTATTTTTCATAATCCAGCTCGGCACAGACAGGCATCATGTTTCTTAAAGGGATACTCCACTTTTTTTGGAAATAGGCTCATTTTACAAATCCCCCAGAGTTAAACAGTTGAATTTTACCGTTTTTAAATCCATTCAGCCGATTTTCTGATATTTAGATGAATATCAGTAACCAGACAGTTTCTGGTCTCATTGACTTCCATAGTATATATTTTTTCCTACTATGGAAGTCAATGAGACCAGAAACTGTGTGGTTACTGATATTCTTAAAAAAATTTAAGAAAATCGGCTGAATGGATTGGAAAAACGGTAAAACCCAACTGTTTAACTCAGGGAGCTGTAAAATGAGCCTATTTCAAAAAAAAAAGTGGAGTATCCCTTTAAGTTGGAAGTGTTTTTGTGTTGAATCATGCATAACAGTAATAAGGCAGCACAATACAGCGAGAGGAAAAAATAATACGGTAATGCTTTATTCACGTTTCTGAAACGAACACGTACAAAATGATTTATAAATGGGAATCACATCCATCTTTATTGGTTTGATAATGAAATGGCATGTAAAGATTGCAGCAAGCGGAGTCCTACGACTACAGGAACATTCTCTTGATACCAACAAAGGAACAAGAAAACATTTCGAGGACCACCAAGTCATAAACGACAGATAAAATACACTTGAACTCCCGCATATTGATATACCATATATATATTTACATCATATAGAATTCCATGAAAACTAAAGCACTTTAAACTGTTTACCTTTTTTTTTTTCTTTTCTTTTAAATATCTTTTGAGGAGAAATAGGCATGTCGTCCCACACGTCAATCCCCCCCCCCCTCCAATTCATACTCGTGCAAGTCACTTCAGTGGCAGGATTGGCTAGTAGGAGCTTCTTACAAGCAGTTTGCAATTTGGACAGTTCAGAAGTTGTTCAGGTAGCCATGGCAACCATATCAAAGAGTTAAAAGGTCAAGGGGTGGGACTTGTCAGAATATGAGCAGGGGGGGGGGGGGGGGCGAATAATGCACACTCGGGCGCTTCACATTCCTGCAACCATTTTCCCATGATACTCTTTACCCTCTTCTGTTCCAGACACTGGTGGGGTTTGGTCTACGGTCTCCTGTACTGAATCTTGAGTGGGTGGCTTTTGGGGCACCTCGGCCTCCTCTTTCCCTTGGGTGTCTCTTTTGGTGAGCGTGCTTTTCCCGTTATCGACCTGATCAAAGAAATCTTTCATGGCCTCCTCATACATGTCATAAGGCAACTGTCCATTCGCGGTGGAATCAATAGCTCTCTTGCGATCACTCGAGCTGGTATCGGGGTACTCGGTCAAGAGTTTGGCCGCGAGGAAGGTTGACTCTTCGTCCTCATCCACTGCGTCATCGTCGTAATCGTCTTTTCTTTTGCTTGGAGCTTTGTTTAACTCGGACAGGAACAAGCCTCCCCGTCTTCCGCTTGGGTTGAAGTACTTTGCCATGGCTGTTTTGTAGGGCCTTTGCTTCAGCAAAGACAATTTAGCATTCTTGTTGGCCAGATTCCCTAACCCAAGCACTTTCAGGATATCCTCCGTTTTGACATCATGAGGGATATCGCTCACTGTGACTTCAGGCTGTCGACCGTTGTAGTACTTGATGACCCGGCTCTTGTACCGAGGTTGGCTGGGCTTCCTAGCCAGCTGGTTCTCAGGAAGTCGCTGTTGTTGTTTTCTGGTTTCCTCCATGAAGAGCATTCCAACCAGGTCCTCTGGAGGCACCTGGAGCTTCATTGAAATGGCAGACAGAAGTTGTTTGATTGCCCTAGGGTCCATTAGAGAGGGCCGCGATTGTAGCCGCCTCCTTCCTTCCATCAGGTCCCGTTTTTGTGCTTGGTCGGTCATCTCCAAGACCTTCAACAGGTAGTAATCCACAAGTTTTGTGTCATCTTCTGGGTTCTCGTCGTCCTCTTCTATGGGATTAGCTCGTCTTTCGGTGACCTCGCCCTGCTCGCCGTTATCTCCCAGCCCTCGTTCATATTCTTCATGGCTTCCTTTTACTACTTCCTCCGTCTCGAGCTGCTCCTCTAATGGCACCCATTCCTCCCCTCCAGTCACGTCCTCGTACGCCAGGCTCCTAACCCTGTAGAGGTCATCGTCGTCTTCACCGTCTTCGTCATCCTGGTTCTCGCGCTTCTGGTTCTGCGCGGCGGTCAGTTTGCCAAGTTCTTCGAATATAGAGCGCATGTTGGCGAGGCTCTGAGGAGTGTACTGCTCATCCAAATCCTCAGTAGCCCGCTTGTTGTCCCTGTGGTTCTCCTCATCCTCAAACATCAACGGATACTTCTTGTGTGGCTTCACAAAGCCTGCGTAGTCTCCAACAGGGCTCTCTGCGTCCACCATAGGGCGCCTGCTCTTGTGAAGCCGGCGCTCACTTCCAGGCGCTGGCTGGCTTTCCGGGCTCTCTCCAGTTTGTTCCAGCATCCGCAGCAAAGATCGAACCCACTGTGGCACCTTGTTTTCAGGCCAATGGGTGGCATCCTCACGCGTGGGTGCGTCCTCGTCCTGCAGGGAGGCGAGCTGCACTAGAAATCGGAATTTGTCCACCTCGTCATAGTCCCCGGTGGGGCTCTCTGGTCCGTTGGCTCTCTGCTTCAAGCTTTCGATGTACTCCAGGGCTTTGATCATATCACCGCTGGGTGCGAGGAAGCCACCCTGGTCTCCGCCTCGCAGGCGGTGGTGACGCATTGAGGCGCCCTGCACGGTTAGCGTTTGGAGCAGGGTAGCGAGCAGGACCGCCACCCCTCTGACGGACAGTTTCGGTAATGACATCATCATACCACCTAGAGATAATAAGCATAAAGCTAGTTAACCCATGCAATATTTTTATTCATGTTGCCATCTTGGTTTAAAAACAATGCATGCAATGTAACTAAAATCTTGAAATTCTGTTTTAAGTTTAACTACCTATGTGTAGAAACTACTGAGTTTTTTTTTTTTTTTTTTTTTTCGATCCAAAATTGTTTCCAATTGTTACTGAGCAGAAGAGACGCTCCGAGCGCCAGAGCAGCAATGAGCTCAGTCAGAACACAACATGTTTTTAAAAGACAACAGCACTGGATGAGTCACCGCCTGTTGTCAAGGTAACCTTTCACTTGTGGCTATACGAACAGATCTATTGATATTTTTCAAGAACACATTTTAAAAGCAAATCTCGATTTAAAAAAGAGAGAGAGAGAGATGGAATAGATTTCACTGATCTCTGCGCGACAAAACCGAGCCGATAAGCTCGAGATGAGAGATGCTGATGATGAGTAATAGCATCTAATCACGCAAAGCCATAAAGAAAAGAAAAAGGCAATACTTCTTATTAACCCTCTCAAAGCAGACTAAATCATACGTTAACTATCTTCACACAGCATCATTTCGTGATTGCAAAAATTAAAATGAGCCGTCGTACCTTTTGTGTAGAGCTCAGAGAATGTGAATGAGCGTGAACAGCATGTCCTCCGTGTTCTCAATGCGCTTCGGTTGTGTTTCAGCACCGGACAGCTCCTCGCGCTATATGAGGCGTCACCTGATCAATGCGTCACCGATGCTCACGCAAAACCGAGGCTGTGCATGCATCCGTACCGACGGTAACCATTCACACAAAACTGCAGAAAAAAAATCCGAAGCCTCATTAACAGTTTTTAGGGATAATTTTTTTGTACTTTTCTTTTATTATTTATAGTAAACAATAATAGTTAAACAAACACTGAAACTATTGGTAAATGAAATTGCAAAATGAAACTGTTCTAGATACACATCAGTGACTTTTTATTTCCATCTTATTAGTTGAATTGAGTAGGAATTAGAATAGGCATAGGCGTGCAATGTGTAAATAAATAAATAAAACATGGTTTCTTCGTTTTCTCTCTGTAGTTACACACAGGCGTCACAGAGTTAAATCGTCAGGCGATGAGTCATACACACTCATACGCACACCGTGGGGCTTATTGGGGAGAAGAAGGCCTCTGATAAATATACAGCTGTCGCTTGTCGGATCTCTCTCTCCACTTTCCCAAGACACCTACAGTCCCGAACATCCATTAGGTCCTGCCGTGGGGCCTGTCAGCAGTTGAATTAGGTGCCTTGTGATACTCGTCTGTACTTGATCACTTTTCCTGGAACACAAAAGTCTCTGCGGAGAAAGCTTTGTCCTTTTGATCGCCCAGCACATTATTTGAAGTATTTTTAGATGTAAAAAAATAAAAAAAAAAGTAAAAAGAGTTTATTTTTGGCCTGCTTACCCAGACAGCCGTGCATTGTCCTATAATCTTAAAAATAAATACCCTATTTGTAACCAAAAAAGGATAATGCTATATGATATATTAAATTATGACTGCACTCCAACCTAAAACTCTTAGACAATTGCCTTATATATGAATAAAATGTTTTATTTTTCCTATCTGTCCTCTTATCTCCATTATTTGTTTTGTCTTTTTTTTATATTATTTATTACTTTTGGTCACCTTTAGGTCTGTCTGTGGGTTTGCAAATATGTAACCAATAAAAATACATTTACAACTATACATCATAATTTAATTGGTTCCACAAACTGTCAATCAAACCTCACAACTACTCCCCACCTGTATCGTGAATGAAGGGCCACGTGCAGTTTGGACCGTCTCTGCCTGTTTGCATTGCAAAAAAGGTAAGTAAATAACTAGTTGTTTGAATAAGTACAGCGTTTTCTTTTCTCAAAACACTAGGCCTATATAAAGGCGATTAATGTTTTATATATTTGTGGAGCGGAGAAGAAAGTCTTAGTCTATCATTTCGTCGAGCCATACAGCCTGTGTGAACCACTTCATCTTTAATAAAACGAGATTTTGGCCAAATGACAGAAAGCAGTGAGCGTCCACACA